TGGAACTTGAGGGTATTGGCTTCTGTGTGGTCGGGCCTCGGGGTGACGGGGAGATCCGGGCCCCCGTGTCACGCGTGCCTGTTTCTGTAGGTAAGTGAGGAAAAATGGCCCGTACAAAGCAGACCGCCCGCAAGTCCACTGGGGGGAAGGCGCCGCGCAAGCAGCTGGCCACGAAGGCGGCCCGGAAAAGCGCCCCCTCTACCGGCGGCGTCAAGAAGCCTCACCGCTACAGGTAAGGCCCTCGGCTCGGCCCCGGCTGCCGCAGCCCCTGCTCCGCCTCACCGCCCCCTCCTCCCTCTTCCATCCAGGCCGGGAACCGTCGCTCTCCGTGAGATCCGTCGTTACCAGAAATCCACGGAGCTGCTGATCCGCAAGCTGCCCTTCCAGCGGCTTGTCAGGGAAATCGCTCAAGATTTCAAAACAGACTTGAGGTTCCAGAGTGCAGCCATCGGTGCGCTGCAGGTACTGCGGAGGGCCGGGTGGGCCGCGGCGCTGGGGGAGCTGCGCTTGAGGGTTTGTAACGACATTTCTTCTGCTGCTCTTGAAACAGGAGGCCAGCGAGGCTTATCTGGTGGGTCTGTTTGAAGACACAAACCTGTGTGCCATCCATGCCAAGAGAGTCACCATCATGCCCAAAGATATCCAATTGGCTCGCAGGATACGGGGAGAGAGAGCTTAAGTGAAGGCTGTTTTTATGGTGTTTTGTAGTTAAATCTGTAAAATACTTTGGTTTTAATTTGTGACTTTTTTTGTAAGAAATTGTTTATAATATGTTGCATTTGTACTTAAGTCATTCCATCTTTCACTCAGGATGAATGCTAAAAGTGACTGTTCACATAAACCTCAGTGATGTTGAGCCTCGGGCTCGGGAGTGACAAGTTGCTAATATGCAGAAGGGATGGGTGTTCTTTCTTGCTTCTCATGCATGTTTCTGTATGTTAATGACTTGTTGGGTAGATAAACTTGTAAGGTACTAGAATTGATATAAATGTGTACAGGGTCCTTTTGCAATAAAACTGGTTATGACTTGATCCAAGTGTTTAACAATTGGGGCTGTTAGTCTGACCATGCATCACTGTGATCAAATGTGGACTTCCTTCAGAGGGTGAAACTACAAGTCTTAACCACAGTGTAACTTACAGTTTCCTAAAAACGTAAACCTGGCAGCTATAGAATACACTATGTGCATTTATAATAGCTATTTTATATATTGTAGTGTCAACATTTTTAAATTAAATGTTTTACATTCACATGTGAGGAGTCTTTGTCATTTGGTTTGAACGAGCTTGAAGAAGCTTCTGCCTCCTCCTACAGATTCCTGTAAGCCGGGGCTGCTGCTCTGGCAAGTGAACCTTGGCTGGTGACAGAATGGAGAACTTTTGGAGTATTTTGGAGATTTTGTGCAGCTTGACTTCCTGTTGCCAGTGGGAGTGGAGCTCTACAGCTCTGCAGGGTCCAGGAGGAGTGGGCAAAGCTGCAGTGGCCTTTTGGGGGACTTTTCTCTAATCTCTGCTCCAAGTTCTTTGGTCCTTTCTAGTGGCTGTAGGGAAAGTTTATTTTGGAATTGTGACTGGTCTGGCTGAGGCAGAAGCACCTGGCTGTTCCCAAGCAGTGGGGATGGCAGGGTGGGGGGGAGCATTCCCATGGGATCAGGCTGTGCTAGTCCCGGATCTGCTCAGGGGATGGTGTGCAAGGGCAACAGCTGATTGTACACTCCGGGAGCAGAGGGGCTGCTGAGCCAGACGGGCGCCTGCTCCATGTGATTCTCATTTCCCATCCAGACTTTTTTGGATGGAGCAGGATTTATACTCAAACCTTTGCTTCAGGCTTGGCTAAGGCAGGTCTGGGTTCCTTGGTTGCCAGACCCTGCTGGGCTGTGGTGGAGGAAAGTGCTCAGACTGCACCTGAAGCACGGGTAATTGACACTGAGCTTGGAGGGAGCCAGAACAGGCTACACGAGTAAGGCTGGAGTTGTCACAGGAAAGCGGTTGAGCCAGCTCAGCTTGATTTATTCCAGTGGAAGGACGGTGGTGTTCTGGGGGAAGAGTAGCAGCAGTTCTGACCTAACCTGGGTAAATTGGTGCTGGCTGTTCGTGATCTCCCACCACGAGGGTGAGGAAGAGCATGAAAACCATCCTGGCTCATTCTGGGAGTCAGGGCCTGCAGCCCACAGCTGCTGCTGGGACAGTGGAGCCTCGTCGTGTTCTCCCTCAGACAAACCACTCCATGTGCTTAAATCCTGCAGCTGGAGGAACAGGCACTCCTCACCCACCTTCCACAGCCTCCTCCTCACCTCCCTGTCCTACACTGCTCCAAGGAGCAAACCCAGCCCCTGGCTCGCTGCAGTATCCTGCTGAAATCCTGCTCTGAAATGATGGGTTTTGAGCAAATATTTTCCTGTTCTTGCTAAAGCTGTATGGGGAAAGATTCCTTTGATACAGAGTAATGAAGTTCACGATTTAGACACAAAGTTAAGCTACAACTTCAGGTGATGCTCAGCGATCTCAGGTCAATCACCTGGGCAGGTCTTTCCAGGGCCAGTGCCTGCCAGGAATGCCCCCATGGAAAATCTGAGGATCTTCGGTAGCCCATGTAATTCAGGAAGAACCACACAGCTTGCATTTAGGCCAATTGAAAATGAAAAATTCCAAGTAATGGGATTTGTTTGTGAATGCTTGGTTTGGTGCTGAGCTGCAGTAGCAGTCTCAGCTCCTGCAAGAAAAGTATGTTTAAAATAATATCCCTTGAAAACAGTATCTCCTGCAAGTCCTTACTGGAAACAATGAAGCATCTGGCTATGCCTAGAATAGTTTCTTAGAATAAAATCATTGTCTGGTGGTCCTTAGAAACCCCCCCACACACCAGAAAAATATCAAAGTATCTCTTCATCTTAGTAACCTTAACAAAATGAATTAAGTCAGATTCTGCATGTGGTGATCCAGAACAGAACTCCTGCTATTCCACGGTGTCACTGGTGGTAGCTGAAGCCATAAACCCTTCCCTTACTGATTCTCCCAGTGATTTCCTCGCATTCTTGCTCAGAACTGGATGCAAACACCAGGCAGTTGAACGTGCTCCCATCAGGGCTCTCAGGGGAAGAGCTAAAAATGGAAACACGTCCATTATCCAGCAGAGCTCGGAGCCCAGCCCTGCTTCCAACCGCGCCAGGGACCCTGCGGCTGCTCCGGACCTCGCTTGTTTATTTTCCCAGACCCACATCCCTCTCTGCCCCCTCCCAGGGCCCACAGGCAGCGCTCACACCACACAGAAGGCAAAGATCCCGGGGCTCCACGCGCCGTGTCCCACGCAGGAGATGGATGGGTAGGGATGGCGGCACAGGAGCTGCGCAGGGGACAGGAAGGGGCCGGTGTTTGGGCTGTGGTCAGTCCCTGTCACCCCATTCCTGGGTGATAATGTCCCCAGGACCCTCCAGCTGGACTCCCCATGCCTCCAGATTCCCAGGCCTTGGATGTCACTCACTCACCATGGAAGAAGCCTTCTCCTTCACAAGGACTTCTGCCTCCTTCACATCAAATAAAACCTCCTGCAGGGGGGATGAGGGGGAAGAAGCCCCTATCAGGACAGCCCTGAGGTCTGTTTTTAATCAGACATTCACCAGAGAGTATCCAAATGAAGAAGTGATGAAGCACAGTCAACCTCAGCTTTTTAAAATTTCCTGTGTTCCTTTTCCCCCCACCACCCAGTGCTTCCTCACTTCAATCTTTTCACAAACAACCCCCAGAGGCTCAAACAACCTGAGCCTTAAAGCACCCTTGGAATCAGGCTTAACCTTCCCAGAGTTTTCCAAGTTCTTTCCTGCATGCTGTTGCATTTTTTTCCTTAATGCCCCTTCGTATCCTGGCTGCTGAGATGCTTCTGACCTGAAAAACCCTCCCAGGGGTGATGGCATGGCAAATATTCAGCCAAGCCAAGTGAGCTTGGAGCTGGCAGGAAAAAATATCCATGGCAGAGCCCCTGGTTCCCTGTATTCTCTTCCCAGGATGTCCCCAGCCCTGTCACTCACCCGCGCTGCCATCCAGCACGGCAGGGATGGCTCCCTCCAGCACCTCTTTGCCACCACACTGAAATGGAATGGGAAGGAGGGAATAACCCTTGGACACATGAAAAGAACTGCAGAAGAGATGATTCACCCCATGGCAGGTCTCTGCCCCACAGCCTCACCATCCCAACGCTGGTCTGGCCCAGGTAGCGCAGGTTGTAGAGCAGCCTGGGGAGGAAAGGGCTCAGGGGCATCAGAGGAAGGACCCACACACCACTCCTGCTGCTCTTGGCAGGAGAAGATGCTCACAGCCCCCTCCTCACCTGCAGGCCATGGGGGCAGCCTTGGCCCCACAGCCTTGAGCAGAGATCAGGGACAGTGTGGACACATGCCAACCCAGGGCTTTGGGAGCCCAGGGAGAGGCAAGTCCCAGTGCCACAGGCTGAGCTGGGACCAGCTTGTCTCTGTCCTCTCAGGATTCGGCCGTGCCCAGACCCTGAAGGGACAAAGCTGCTCTAGGGACGGGATGGCAAAGCAACAGCAAACCCTTAACTCATTGAAGAGCCCTCCTGCCTCACCCCACATGTCCCCACGCAGCAGGGGGATGCAGCTGCCCCTCCCCAAAGCCACTGCTGTTTGCAGCAGCACTTACTGTCACATCGCATTAGCCGGGGCCTCGAGACACGGCCAGCTCGGCCGGGGGCACTGGCTGTCAGAAATGCCCCAAAGCCAGCGGGATCCCAGGCTCTGCAGCAACACCATGGCTCAGTGCATGCCTTGACCAGTGCCAAAGCCGCCTTGAGCTTTTTGGGGCTTCTTTTGGGTTTAAAAGGTGGTGGAGGGATGCTCTTCATCATTAAAAGACATGGAGGAGTCCCTGCTGCTCTCAATAATGCACTGATGTTTCACTGAGCAAACCAAGAGCAAAAACAACTGATGCGTAATCTGTGTCAGCCCAGGGAAATGGGGATTTTTTTTGGCAAGAAATCAGGGGATGGAGCACAGGGAATGATCACTTATAACAGCGATTTAGGCCTGGGTACTTCTCTTGCTTGTTTTTACTCCGGGGAATGCTGGGATCTGTTCCTGGTGTGGGCCCAGGTACCCAGCAGGATCCAACCTCTATAGCAGAGACAGCTCTGCTTATCCTGGTGAACCTGGGCCAATTCACCCTGGGGTGCACAGCAATCCCTCCCCACCAAACCCCTCCTGATCTCCCTCATTTGACTTCTCAGGGAGGGCCAGGTGGCGGAAGGACGCTCCCGGGAGCGATGGGCTCTTACCAGCAGCAGCCAGCTCTCGTCCAAGAAGCTGCAATTCTGCAAACAAAGGAGTGCCAGCACCATTGGTGCCTGCAAGGAAGGGGCCAGGGCCCCACACTGGCAGCCCTGTGCTGGTCACCACCCCACTGATTCACCACTGCACCTGCAGGTCCAGGGAGAAATCCATCTCTGTCAGCACCAGCAGCAGCGAGAGGAAAGGCTCTGCGGAGGGATGGGGATGGAGAGGCAGTGTCACCACCTGGCAGCCACAGCCTCACAGGGACATGGCAGAGGACAGAATGAAGCCATTTGCAGTGTAACTCATGAGTCCTGGGAGCAAGGCTTTGAGAACATCCCAGCACCACACACCCAGGCTGCTGCTGGAGGCTCATCCCAGGCTCCTGCTGCCAGCACAGGGGCAGCTTGGTACCTTTTTTCCCCAAATTCAGACCAAGGCTTGTAGCAAATGCTACTGACTATTTCTCCCCTTAGAAGTACAGCAAAGCTGCCCAGGCTCTCCTACACAAGCCTTGCAATCACACTGCTGGGTCTGAAATCTGCTCATGCACCAGCAGTGCGGGTGATTTATAAACCATTGATGTACAGGTTTAATATGGGGTTATTTATCATAATCAAAAGATTAAAGGTTTCCACCCCGGCCTAGCCCAGCAAGGAGCACAGCTGTGGATGGATGGAGTGCTGCAGCCTGTCAAGGCAATGCAGCTATTCAAGCCCCTGTGCCACCCCTCAGCCCAGGCCCATCTGACATTCCCTCCCCTTAAAGCCAGACTGGGTCTGCTTAAGGCAGAATCCTTTGTACGAAGGAATAACATGGAAGATACTTCAGAAGCAATTTCCCTATCCCATGCCACTAAAGCCAATCTTAGATGGATTCAAATCCTGTTTAAATATTTACACCTTTTTTTTTTTTTTTTTTTTTTTTTTTTTTTTTTTTTTTTTTTCCCTCCCCAATCACTGCAGCAACATATTTAGATTCCAGCTCTAAGTTTGGATTAGAAAAAGCACAGTGGCCTCTTCCCCCTCCCCTGCAGCAGTGCAGTGCTGCATCCTGCCTCGGGTGAGCCACCATCTTACCCCGGAGATCTTCACTGCCGAGGATGGAGCTCCCTGGATCATAAAACTGATACCCAGTGAAATAACACAGATTACTCCTCTGCTTCGCAGCCCATCCATCAGCCGTGGGTAGCAGCTGCCCCCCACATGCCGCACCTCCAGGATTCGGGGGGTCTGTGCCAGCTGCCTCAGGGCCACCGCCAGCGCCTTCCCTTGCAGGGCCAGGAGCAGAAAGAGCCGGCCCTGCACCGTCCGCTCACAGCCCCCGGCTCTCCGGGTGCTGCTGGACAGAGAGCTCGGCCTGTCTGGGGAGAGGAGAAGCAGCTTGGGCAGCACACGGGAGCGGCCTCCCTGCGCCTGGGGTCTCTGGGATGAGCATGTCGCGACAGACGCCAGCACAGCTCAGATTTTCACCCCAGTCTAGCTCGGGGTCGCTTCCAGGCCGCTGGTTCCCGTGGGAAGTCGCTCCAGCCAGCGCCAGTAACCCGTCTCTGGAAGCCCCAAGCCGGTTCTGCGGGAGAAAGGGAGCTGGACACCCCTCGCCGCGGGCCCGGGGACGCTGCCACCGCCCGCCCGGCCACCAAGGGTCACTCACGTCGGAGCCCCTTGCGCAGGATGCTCTCAGCAGCTGGCAGAGCCACACGAGGTGCGGAGAGGTGTCCGTGCACGGCCCCCCGAACTCCCGCAGCCGCAGCACCCCTCCTGCGGGGAGAGAGAGCGGCGGCACCCGTGAGCGCCCAGCCGGGGAACGGGGACAGGCCACCCCGGGGACAGCTCTGCACGGCCCCGAGAGGGTC